ATAATACATTACTTGCAGGGAATTTTTGTGACTTTCAAAACTGTGATGAATCTGTTTACTGTTTGATTTTAAAAATAAAATCAAACAAAGACAGATCCCTTCTTTGATTCAGTAAAAATTTGAGTACTTATTTGTTGTGTAAAACAGCTGTTTTTCAAGTTTTTACTTCATCATCTATAAATAGTTTATTTGTAGTACAAGACCTATAGCATCAAGGGGGAGGGAACTATTTTGATATTGCAATCAAAGAATCAGCACAGCAAGCTAATTTTGGCAGTCCTAGTGTTACTAATAGTGATAAAAACATTAACTATATTAACCAACCAGGTTCTATCGATAACTTGCCTGTCATTGATGGATACTGGATTACATAAGGGTGCACATAACCACTCTTTGAAAAGCCTTTTACCAAAAGGTGTACAGCAATGATCCAACCTTTCTAACAAAGTTCCCTCTGTTGTCCCTGTAGTTTGGTTCTCTAATACGTCTAAGTTAGCCAGGGTCACACCATCCAATACCTACAAAATAAAAAAAAAAAGTGTTCATCTGTTTTATAAAACTTTAATTAAAAATTTTCATACATATGGAACAAGGTGGTACATATTATATTTTATTTTTACGTTAACTACATATATAAATACATCAAATAATTCCATCAAAAGTAAAAACCATGAGATGGTATATTTATAATATGCGGTTGTTGAGTTTCAGCTCACATTTATTTGGTAGTATTGCCTTTTTATAACATTAAAACAATTTTGTTTTTACAATTGTATGCCCTAAACTGCACAGAAATGTCAAATATAAATGTCTTGATGTTGTATGAAAATGTCCTGATGGCCTTTCATATTCCTACCAAAAAGGATAATTACCATACGATTTCTTCCTGTAGTAAAAGCAATGGCTGACTTCTTTGAGTCAAAAACTGCTTTGACATCATCTAAAGGTTTATACACCTCAAAATTCCTCATTGACAATAATTCCTCCTCTAGGAAACATTTCTTTAAATACCTAAGTAAAAAAGAGACAAAAATTTTAACTTTTTCTCTGATTTTTATTTTTAACTAAAGCGCGGCAGTTGTCGTGATGCGTTCTGTTTGATATGGGACTCATAACGGCGTATACAATGCGTGTAAAATACATTGTTTATTTACATGAAATTCGAACACGTTCTGAGACGAGCACCGTGCTTTAAACATTTCCTGTGTCATAAGTATCAATTTGTACTGACCATCACTGCAATGTAGACAGCGAGCATAGCATATATGTTATATAAGGACATTGTACATTAAATAACAACAATATCTCTGTAAGATTTAGTCTTCTTAAATGTGGTTACCGTTATATTTAAACAAAACAAGTCATTGAAAATGACACAGTCCCTGTTAAATTTTTGAAAGTTCTCTTTGTGCTTGTCATATTAAAGCAGAGGAGTTGTTGTGAGCGTGTCCTTGAAACTTGAGTTCCAAGTGGCGTATACAACAGATTGTTTATTTACATCAAAACACGTGTAGTAGTAATATGGCCAAAAATAAAAACAGCCATTATTCGGTCATCTTTGATCTGATTATGAAACGCACTGATATGTATGATGTATGTGCCAAATACGAATGAAAATAGTACATAAATTGTGGAAATATAGTAGTAAGGCCAAAAAGTCAGATGGCTGTCAATCGGCCATCCTTGACCAGATTTTGAAACAAATTGTCATGGACATGCATCCTAACATGTATAAAGTACATGTATGTGCCAAATTTGAATGAAAACTGACAGAGCACGTCCAAGATACCACATCAAAAAAAAAAAAAAAAAGATGCCTGCCAGTTGACCATCTTTGATCCAATTGCGAAATAAATCGTCATGGACATGTATCCTAACATGTATAATTTATGTACCAAGTTTGAATGACAACTGACAAGCATGACCAAAACAGAACATTTTCAAAAAACAAGATGGCTGCCAGTCGGCCATTTTGAATCGAATCGCTAAACCACTGCATGTGCATATGTCCCACCATAAGGTACTAGGCACATGCAAAGAATAAACGGAATCAGTCCACAGGATTCTGAGATATGACTCCGGAGGGACACATAGACGCACGGAGACCAAATTATAAGTCCCTGTTTTCGGACTTCGACTGAACGGGGACTAATAATGCTCAAAATCACAATGATAATTAGGTAAAGACAAGACATGAAATGTCACAGTCCCCGTTATTTGATTATAAAATACAGGTAGTACAAGGAACATCTGCAAACAGGTGAATAAATATGTACTCTTTGTGGGTACAACTCATCAAGTGATTTCCCATAATCTAGTTTTGTACTGACAACTAAAAACTTCCACTGACCCATGTTCAGAATCTCAGAGTACACAAGTGCAACAAAACTATTTGTCAAACATGTATACTTGCTGAAGAAACTGCATTCATAAATCTGAGTGAACCTTGATGTACATGACTTCTTTGTTAATCAGGTCTTAGTATATTACCAGGACGTGGGTTTGTTTCAACATCACCACTGGGCATCAGAATCATTCTCATGTTGTCAAATACAATTTGTTAACACAGTAAGGTTTATTATTTAAAATGTATTCATTGTACATAGAACAACATCTGTTAATTTAAACAATTGTAAAAGCTATGTTTTCAGAGCAAGTACATGTAATAATTAACGAAGCCAGTAAAGGTTGGTCTGCTCATAACCTTCAATGGAGAAGTAACAATAACTGTTCGAAGTCTTTTTAGTGCAGTGATATTATAGCATTTCAATCATTATTAATGGGTATAAAATACTGTAAACCATTTAATTTTCACTTCTAGATATATTCAGGATTTTGTGAAATTTGTGTACAACATTTCAATAAAGTCCCTGACACTCCATGTTGTAGGAACCCAGAAAAAATTGCCTTGCGAAATTGAAGCAGTTCACAGCACCACTGTAAAAAAAAAAAAGTTTAAAATGAGTATTGTCCAAGATATACACATGTGGGTTCATAAGACATGTGTACCAATCTGAGTGGTTCTAGAGATTAGTATCACAAGATTTTACTCTCCGTGATTCAATATCAGCCCTATGTATAACGCTGTGTTTGTAATGTATTGGGTTTGCCTAGGCGTATTGCATGCTGGGTACAGCCTCGTTGCGAGTTTTGGTAAATAAAGTCTCCTTCCGTGTAACGATTCAATTCTGATTTGAGTCCTCTAATTTATAGCAGTAAGAGCGACGATCTGGTATATTACAGAACCTAAGAGTAATATACTACACTGGCGACGAGGATACTCCACAAAGACGAAAATAGTGAGGTAAATATGGAGAAAAACGCTATACCGAATTTGAATGCTACGCCGAACCTTCTACGTTGGGGCCTCGCTGGTCAGAT